ATGTGCAAAGGGTGTAAGTGACTGGTTGTTAATGATGTCCGTGGTAATGAGGTTCAGATTTCAGTGATTTGCAGTGCAGATATCCTCAGTGTTTCAGGAAAGTTTTCACTTTGCAGCATAGATTTGCTCTCACAGCCATCTGAAAAGTGCATGAGACTGCAGAGAAGTGCCTGCAATATTTGTGGGGAGGGCCTTCCCCACGTTATTAGCTTGGCCAAGGAAATATTAAATCTTGAACTGAAGCAAAATGAGATCCCATCCCTTTAACAGAATTATTTCGGCCTCCAATAACAGCGTCTCATACTTTAAGCCTTGAACTGGAACAAAGCACTCTCTCTTGATCTACTTTCTCCCACTCCTCCTTGCCAGCCTCTGCTTTTCTTAGTGTGCTGAGGCATTAACCCCGTGCAGATTCGCTGCTTTACATGTCCCAGCAGCGAACAGAAATGAAACACATGCTAAGGAGAAATAGGCTTCAATTCAAGCAAAATCTGCAAGAGGGGTAGGCTGCTTTGTCTGAGAAACAAAAACAAAAAAGAAAAACCCCTGGATATATCATGGGTCAGACCACATTAATGGAGCAGTAAGAGAAGACGTGCCATTACAGAGGCACGGCATGGTTCAGAGCACGTGCCTGTTGCCAGGGCAATTTTTCTCCTTTCTGAGGCTGCAGGGATCACAACCACACCATGCAGCTGCCAGCACCACACCATGAGCTCCGTGCTGAGCTGGGTCTGCTCCTCTAGGTTCTTCACCTGAGCAGCAGAGGAAGGGCAGGGACTCTGCCCCCCTTGGCAGCTCCGAGCAGAGCCAGGGCTTTTTGCTGCAGGACCAGTCATGACCTCAGCTTCCTTCCACTTATTTAGAGGCTAAGCAATCATTTCTCTGCACGTCTCTCATGGATGCTATGCCTTCTGGATCTTGCTCCTGCTCCTGATCAGCTCTCCTTCTCCATGCACTGCTCATCACCCTTCCCAAAACATCTGGAAGTTGCCTTCCATGAACCAACCACTTTTTCATTTCTTCTTCTTCTTCTTCTTCTTCTTCTTCTTCAAGTCTCCAGAGGTGTTTTCCATTGTTTATTTTACTTTTGGCATCAAATCAAATGGGCAACAGAAGAGACCAATGTTTTTCAGTGTACCCAAACTTCTTTCACATCTGGAAACATGAGGTGAACTCAACTGCCCTCCCATCAGTACATCCACACATGGGTGTGAGTGAAAGTACTCTGATCTCTCAAACGTTGGGTGAATGCATTTGTGTAACAGAAGGCACTACAGGAGAGCAATGAGCTCAGTGCCCGGCTCAGGTGTGAGCACACCAACAGTGCTCTGCTTCAGCCCATCCTGGAGCTGAACAGCACAGCTCAGCTCCTCCTGCTTCATCCATTAAGTTACAAAGATTATAAGTCAACAGTCATGGATTCTTCAGCACAAGAAGTGCGTATGCATGACACCTTTTAGAGGACATCAAAATGACAGAGGAATCAGGAAGCTCAATAACCCCCAATTACTGTGAAAGAAGGTTGAATGAGGAGGAGGAACAGGGGTCTGGCAAGTTTGCAGGCATTTCCCTGATAAACTTAGAAGTGAGTTGGGATCCTGTGAACTCATCCATCCGCAGCGAAGCAAACAGCTGCATGGCCCACTCTCCCAGCACAACATTCCTGGAAACAGCAATTCTGAAAGGCAACAGTGTTTCATTTTTCTTCTTTGTTTTTCCTTAAGAAAAGCACACAAACTCACTGTCTTCAACCGATTATTCAGATCTATCGACTTGCAGTGTCAACAGACATTATACAGCAACAATTTCTGACACAGAAACAACAATGCAGTACGATAACAACCAAGTACAAAATAGTCCATCTGAATCCTCGTGAGTGCATGCAGTAAATTTCCTCTATTGCCGTGGGTGCCACCCCACACTTTCTCTTGGTGAGTGCATTCTCTGGTTGGAGAAGTATGCAGAGCAGAGATGCTTTTTTCTGCAGCTCTATGCAAATGCTGAGTGCCTGCCTCGTCCCCCCCAGGCCCACACACTCCATTTCACACCCTCCCTCATGGTATCCCCTCATCACATCCCTCCATCACCCCCCCCCCTCCCCCTTGTGGCTGCAGTGCAGGGTGGGGGCAGTGCAGGGGGATGGGGCCGAACCCCCAGCTCACACCCACCCGCATTCACACCCCAGCAGCATCGTATCTTCGTATCTGCTCAGGCCAAGAGGCTCTCTGGAGGCATCTTTCAGTAGTTTTGTTTGTTTGTTTGTTTGTTTGAAATACATCCTTTGAGGTCTCCCCTGCAAATCCTGGAGTAGAGCTTGCCAGGAGAAAACTGCAGAGGAGAACTGATGAGAGAATGCAGCAGCACTGGGCCTTACAGCCACTTCCCATCTTCGCCTAGCGCTGGATGACAGCACAGGGACTCACTCCACCTCTGATTTGCCCTCTGTCCCACAGCTGCATCCCCCCCATGCCTCAGCACCCGCCTCCCACTGCTAGGAGCTCCTCACAGCCACACGTTCAGATCAACTCAAACTCCCAGAGCACATGGCAAAAAGGTGAACAAACCCCTGTGCGTGTCCTTCCTCATGGAATTGAGCCCTAATTGCTTACAAGCATTCACTTATCTGGTGAGTGAAGTAATTAACAACCATGCTAACCACGTTAAGCGGAGCATGGCCAATTACCCGCCCGCTCCTGAGAGCAGCAGTGATGTGCTGCAGTCAGCCAATCACAATTCTCGCTGTTTTCTTCTCGGATGCTGAGATTACAGTTAAGCAGAATCATTACCTAATTAAAACCAGAACCAAATCAAAGTCTGAGACATCTCAAATTAGACAGTAATGTCAGATAAGCAGCCCAACAGAATACTGCTTTGGAAATTATTGCCATGACTCCAGAATGAAAGCACATCATAGAGCAAGGGCTCCTGGCACAGGCACGTCTCGTAACAGCACTACAGACGCACAGGCAACACAGACAGGACTGCAGCGTGGGGTGGCGGGTAGGTTTGCCTTGTGTGCTTCTCGCTACACATTTCCCAGCACAGACAGGGAGCCAAAAAGGCAGAACCTGCAGCGCCCAGCAGTGCTGTGTCACACATCACAGAGGCTCCTGCAGGCACCCCGGTCCCACACCGCTCTGAGGTGTGCTGAGAGCAGGAGGGCCGGCAGCGCACTGCCATCACACGAGGTTGGACGCAGGGCAGTGGCACGAGCTCCTCACACACTTGTCTTCAGCGTCACCCACAGAAAGAATTCTAAATTTAAATGCTGAGCACTGCTTATAGGGATGTTATAAATTCAGACTCCCACTCTGACACAGTTTCAGACGGGCTAACGCTGAGCTTCCTGTGGCTTCAACTTAAACTTCGCCCACCTTCTCCCACCCAGATATCACTTTTCTCCTTAAGTGCATGCAACCCTTTTGCTGCCCAGAGAGTGTGCGACCCCCTCCACCCCCCATCGGTATCATGCAGCAAACTTTTGCATTTTGAAGCCTCTCTGCTTTCACACGCACATCAGATTGCTGGAAATTAGGAGATGCATTGCTCATTAAGAGCAGAGGAGCCAGCAAGCTCAGCATGCCAAAGGACCCACAGCGTTCCCCTGGCCCTGCTCACAGCCCCGCTCTGGCACAGCCCTGCAGTGCTGCTCAGCACCGTGTGGGTCTCAGCACCGACCGACTCGGGGGCTCCGGGCCCTGTAGGGATGCAGCAATCAGCTCCCATCCCTGTGACCGCAGGGCGAACTCTGAGCAGATGATTTCATCCGGCTCAGCTCCGTGCAGCCGCCTTCCTCCTGCTCTGTTCTCATTCTTGGAAGATTTTGAGTTTTGTACTTGTTCAGGCAAAGCCAACACATTTGCGGGGCTGTGCAGACTCTTTTCAAAGGTGGAAATGCAGGAGGGCCCCCTGGTGAGTTCTGGCTCCAGGCTGCCCCTCGTGCACAGTGCTGAGCGCGGTGCCCCTGGATGGTGTCCAGGATGTGCTCAGCCCACGGTGCTGCACCGCCTGCCAGCAGTGCTGTGCTGCTGGGGGTGCACAGACGGAGGTGTCACACAGAGCAATGGATGAGGTGCTGTGCGGGTGGGTGCGGTGCTCCCCTGGGAGTTCCAAAAGGCACCCACGTCTTTTTGCTGTGTTTTGTGCTGTCTGTCTGTTGGGCGGCCATGGAGCGCAGTGTTCGGTGCCCCTATTGGTGCTTTTGCAGAAGTTCTTCGTTGCACACTTCATTTCAAACCAGCCCAAACCAGCTAACACAAACACATGTGGAACACCGCACCGGGAAATTCCAAGCGCGGCGCTTTCTCACACTTGCCATCATCTTACACATCCCCTTGGCAAGCAGACACATATTTTTCAGCACATCTTTCATCCATCTATTTACTTTAATTAGTGACTATTCCTGGCCATCTCTGAAAGAAGGTATTAAAGCGTAATCCATCAGCAAGGAGAAGTCAGCTCCTATGAGAGCCTTAGGCCCTGCTCTGCTCTGCCTGTGGGTCCCCGTGCCCTGCAGCACTGAGTGGAGCTGCGCAGCCCGGCCCCATTCAGCCCCCCTTCCTGATGCTCCCTGTGGGAACCTCTGTCGTACATTTCCAGATTTGCAATAGGTACAAACCGTCACTTGCTTTCAATCCCCTCAGGAACAACTTGCTTTGCAGGAAAATGTAAACACCTGAAAGCGGTTACATTCTATGCTATGTGGGTCAAAGTGCTTCAGAAGTCCAAGCATCCATCTCTCTCATCTGGGCAGCCACTAAGATAAAATCTGGCCACTGTAACCTTGAGGTGACCTTCACCAATCTTCTCAAGATCTCTTAATCCCTTAATCTGATGAAGCGTTTTGACCTCTGAGCATTGGGTGGATCAGTGCCTTGATGGCATTTGTGTTAATTACTCCTCAAACTCTCACCGAAAGCAAAAAGATCTCAGAGTAGCATTCTTAGTCCAAACTTTTCTTCCTTGCAGTAAAAAAAAAGAAAATCAAACCATCCTACCTGTGTTGCTGAGCCTTCCCAGATTTTCTCTTTGGTTTGTTTTGCTTTAGGCATCGCTGCTCGCTGTGCTGCTTGCATGTCACCTGAACTGCAAAAACAGGAAGGATTGCTTTAAATTGTTTATTAAAAATCACTTTTTAAAACTGTTGCACATATTTATGACTCCTCTCTTCCCACCAGTGGCAGGGACTCTACCTTTTTATTTCCCTGTAAACATTAAGAGACATCTCTGGGCTTTAAATCAAACTTTCTTAATAAAGAGCTTGCTTTTGTCACTCTAAGACATCAATAGCAGGCATCTTTTCAAGAATACTATAGATTAATATTAATGTTATTGTTATTATTATTTTTACCAACTTGTCAGGTTGGATAGCCACGCAACAGGCAATATAAGGCATTCATAAATGCCCAAGCCAGATTGCTACAGGAAAAATAGACAAGTAACTCTGCCTTTGGTGAGCCAGTTTTAGGAGCAGCCCAAGGCGCCCATGGAATGACACTGGGCAGCAGCAGTGGGCTCTGCCAGCAGGAGAGGGCTGTGCCTTCTGCTCAGAGAGAGCTGCCAGCAGCCCTGGGGGCTGCTCCTATCTCACAGTTATGTCACCTTACCACCCCTGAGGAGAAGAGGAAGCCCATGCAATTCATTTCAAAACCACAGCGAGTAACTCTGTAGCAGCACAGCTGCGTGGAGGCTGACTCCCTCTCTTCCTTTCTCTGCTCCTCATCAGCTCTTGCACAGCAGTCAGCTGGGGGCTCCCATTTCCATTCCAAACAGAGCGCAATCGTGGATCACAGGGCCACCTCTGGCCAAAACAGTGTGCTGAGAATAGGCCGCGGTCTGCATCAGCACAGCTCAGCCATGGTGACTGGGGAGGCGGGGGAGCTCACCAGGCCAAGCACACACTGCAACCCGGCACAGCGGTGCGACCCTTCTGACAGCCACAGAATGAGCTCCTACCAGCAGTGCTCATTAATTCCTATTTACCATCCCTTACAACATTTGTAACGTCGGCAGACTGGACCTTGGAGGAAATGCTTTTCTTTTGGTATGGTCACGTGCACGATGCCCAGATGTGTTCTGAGGCCTCAATCACCCTCCAAATAAATTCTCAGCTCCTGCAACCATAACGGCTCCTCCTGGGGAAGAGTGAGTGTGAACCAAAGCAGGAGGATCCGATTGATTACCATTGGCTTTATGGTTTGGAGTCCTAAATACACGGCTCCAGCAGAATGAAGGTGCACAGAGCCTCGAACTGTGAGGTAAAACCTCATAAAGGGCCGTTATATATTCTGGTGTTGTGCTCGCAGTACACATACCTGCTTGTTCTAAAAAGCATTTCCTTATTCCAGCCTGTTGCAATGCACACACATCCAGCTCCCCGGCCCGGTCATTCCCAAAGCAACTCTTCCCAGAAGCAGCATTTTCCTCACAGCCATCAGATGAAGAAGCAGGTTTCTGAGGTCACAGCTTGCCCACGGATGGAGGACTTGGTGACCCAAACTGCATCACTCTTCACCACTGCCAGAGCAGCAGAGACAGTTCAGAGTTCTGTCTGATTCTGCTTCGGAGCCTCAACTTTCCCTGAAGAAACGGGGCAAAATGAAGCAATGCATGTTTTCAGATTTCTCAGCTGGCAATGAGGGAACCCTGGTGGCCACAGCGCAGGTTGCTGAGGGCACAAATTGTTGTAGGACATGAAAACGTGAAGCCGGATGTCCTGGCAGAAATCAGCAGTGCAGATGGCTGCTCCAGAATTCCTGCTGGGGAAAAGAAGTGGCACACTTTTAGTATAGTGGCATCCATAACCTTCAGTGCTATGTCCATATCAAATCACCTTAACAGTAACACATTCAGCCAAAAGGTTTTTAGCATAGGCACTGCTAAAGGAACATGAGAGCAGGGAGGACCTTTTCCAGCACTGGCTGACTCGTGTTCTGCAGCTAAATCTCAGGTTATAAAATGGAAATGGGAGTGTTACAGCGAAACCCCTCTGCACGTGGGAGTGATTACATTGCAGGCTTTCCTTGTCATCCAGCACCTAGAAGGACAAGAAATCCTGCTGCTGGTCTCTGAAAACCCAAAGTCCCCAAATTCATTACCAGAGTCAACAGAGCTCCTGTGAGCACCGTGTGCCATTGTTCATTCCTCCAGGCCACACCTGGATTTAGTTAATGAAAGTCAAACTCTTAATAAATACCTCTTAAAAGCAAAGAAACTACTAAAGATGGTGTTTCATTTCATTGCAAGCAGTCTCCTCTGTTTGTTAAATTGGAAACTATTTTCACCTGATACTTTGGAAATGAAGTCACGACCTTTAATAACTCCATTCAGACTAAATGCATAAATAGAGCTAGAAAGAATCTGTCCAAGTGCTAACCAGAGCATATCCCATATATCTTGCAGTCATTAATGGCTGATGAATTATGCTAATAATGTCAGAGGACATTGGCAAGGTTGATGGACCCAAACTTGCCCTTGTTTTGACAGTACTTCTATGGGAGAGGGCTCTTATGGGGAAAGCAATTACCCAAAAGAGATTGGTTAATAGCAGCCTTCTCCAAGGCGATTTGGATGGATGGGCAGTGCTAGATGTATATAATGGGATTTTTTATTTTTTTTTCTTATAAGAGCACAAATTATGATTCACCCTAATTTTCAGTTCTGGTGATTTGCCAGTATTCAGTGTCATCCAATATCAGTACAGGGCTTTATGACTCCCAGAGGCCATGAGCAACAGAACAGAGAACCTTCATCCAAGGTTTTGTGCAGTTCAGTGCTGGCACACCTGAGTGGTGCAGCCAAAGTTGGTGCTGATGTGGCAAAGCTTCTCATTCCCATGCATGCTGTGCACCCATTTGTTTTAATGAATCACCGAGGGTCATTTCCTAAATGTTTAATACCACCTATAAATAAATGAACGGGCAGCACCAAGGAGATCTTAAATCAAGAGTAACAGAGATGACACAGTACAAAAGAGAAGCTCAGATGGCAACTCTAAGAGGATGAACTGATGCCTCAGAGAGGTTAAGGTGCGAAATGTGGATGCTATGGGCTCAGGTGAGCTGATGGTGGCACGCCAGTATCTGCTAACTGGACTGCCTATATTTAGTGCAGTGACCTGACTTCAACTAAATGGTCACATCCCATTGCATCCATCAGGATTTATGCAAGTGGCTGAGTGCTTCTCTGCCTGCAGGCTGCTAGTTCACAGCTTTAAATGCAACTAGATACCACTGGTATTGCTAAACCAGGGTCTGTGGTCAGAGCATGGACTTTAAAAATAACTTGTATTAAGTTAGAGAAGCTTTAAATACAAAGGGAAAAGAAAAAAGGAAAAAAAGGAGCCCTGGGAGGGAACCTGGAGAGCAGAGATTGTCAGGCTGTGCTGCCTGCACGGCCGTGGCAAAGTGCAGGGAAAGAAAGCATGCAGGAGAAAAATACTGAAGTGCTTCGCTTCCACTTCAGAGTCACAAATGTTGATTATTTTGCTCTTATGTTCTAGGAGGAAATAAATCTCTAAAAGGTGCCACTTCACTTCTTTTCCTTTTTTCCTTCCCTACGTGTAGGTATAAAAACAAAGTGTAAAGCTGCAAGCATTCACCCCACCGGGCTCCTGCATGGACCAACCATCAGCACCTGGCACGGAGCAGGGAGCAGAACTCACCTGCTGCAGGCACGGTTCCCACTGCTCCCACAGCAAAGGGCGCAGTGCTGGTGGGGTGAAGCATTCCGGCCCACTGACACACAGACGGCTGTCAGATCACCACCACCACCCCCAGCAGCTGGGCCCACCCCAGCACATTTCCCTGCTTTCAGCAGAAGAAACCACACCAGTGAAGATACCAGCCCAAAGTTGTCTGCAGCTCCTTCCAGCTGCGGCAGTTCCTCCTCGCCATTGTGTTGAAGCCAACGCAGGAGAGCAAACCAAAGTGCTCACGGACATCCTGTCTGCAGCAGCCAGAGCTCAGAAATCAGGAGTTTCCATATTTCAGAAACTCAGCGTCTCCAAACCCCACGGCCAGAAGGCTGCTGCGGCCAGGAGCCCTTCCAGCACTTCTCTTTCCCCCCATCCTAGCAGCTACAGTCTTTCCCATTTCATCTCCTTCTGAAGACAAAGCAAAGCAAAGCAAATTCAGTCCTCCAAGCATTAGCAAAGCAGCATGCACAGAGCCCTGAAGGGCACCACAAACACAGGGAGCTGCCGCAGGAGTTCCCAGGCGCCTGCTCAACCCTGATGGCTACAAAGTGCACTTCCATACAGCAGTAACCATTTAAGATGTTTCTTTGAACTGGTAACAGTTAAATCCTTAAACTGCATGTAACTCTGGTCCCCTGGTAGCAGTAACTGTTACTGTGGCAGGGGAGTAAATCCAGATTTACAGGAGCACAGCTGGGATGGAGCCCAGCGCTGCTTCCCAGCCCTCAGTTGTGCAGAGTACTTCAAATCTGTTCTTAAATTTGCAGTGTGTACAATCAGGAACATTGGTCATTTAAGAGACAAGAGAGATAAACACAAAAACTGAACATATGTAGATGCCTGGGCCACCGGGAATACAATTCTCCAATTAAAATATTAATAAATGCAGAATATCCCTCTCCTTAATTAATTGGTTAAGCAAACAGTAAGACTAGGTGAAATACTTCCATGATTATTTAACACACAGCCAAATCAAGAAAGTTGACTGAATAGCAATTCCTCAATTAACATACAATGAAGAACATTTGAGTTTTAATTAATCCTTATTGGCGCTGCAGAGACTTCCATGGAGAATCTATTCCGACTCATTTCATAGGCAGGCGCTTCAAGTTGAGGTAATTTCAACATTTGGTGTCCAATATAAATCCACTTATTAAAACTGATAGAAATACACGGGGTTAAAATCAGATCCATGGGGTGAGTACACTCGGGGGGTCACAGCTCCACACAGCATCGCTGCTGGTACCAAGGCACAGCTCTGCTGGATCCTAAAGTGGGGCTGGATTTTGTGTCATCGTGATTTTGGGGCTAAACCTCCCCCGTAAGCTGAGGCGTGCTGCACTGTGTGCATTGTGATTGCTGCAGCCGTTGGCTCAGGGCTGGCAGCCCTGCTCTGCAAACAGCAGCACCATGTAGCTACATGCATCCTCCCTGCAGCCCTGCAAGGAACTCTTATAATACTTAATCCACTTAACTAATAGGCTTCTGCGGGAGTTTATTTAAAAGTCATCTACATTTAATAGAGTTCACTATTTTAAAAGAGGCAGATTATTTTCTATTGCATTCCTCCCAGAACACCTCTGGCTTTGGGGCTGGTGTCTGCTGACCTTTCTGACTCAGGAGCTCTCTTCAGGGGACCATGAAGGGGAACTAAAGATAGTAGAGCTATTTCCAGCATCCCTGCACTCCCAGGGAGCCCTGTGCCTCCACTAGAAAGAGAGAGAGATGACTGGTGTAAGGCTGGGGTTTTCCATGAGCTCCGTGAGACAAATTCTGCCACCAACCCCCAGCCACAAGGGAGCAAACCCACTACCAAGTGACCAGTACCAAATACCCCGTGCTCTGTCTCCTATTGGCATGGATACAGGTGGTGGAATGGAACAACCACTTTCACGTGCTTAATGACAGCACTCTGTTTTACAGGACTGGATAATAATTGTTTTAAAGTACCTTCCTAATGATATATAACGCAGTAAGTAGATGCTTTTTAATGCAAAGCACTTGCAGCGTTTTTCTTTCAATTGTGCTGCCTTGCAATTCTCATACCAGTTTTTAAGAGTTGTGTGTCAGAGAGGTGGCAAAATACCTCACCTGCTCATGGCTGTGATGTGATGTACTGCTGCCCTGCCCTAGAGAGCACCACGCAGATGTTGGATAGGGCTGAGAGTGCCTGGACATTGCTTTGTTGTCCTTACAGCACAGCAAGGTGAGCGCTCTCTCCCTGCTGACATGCTGAGGATTTTTCTCTTTCTCTTGGCTCTGATCTTATATTATTACCATAAGTTCACTCAGGGCTAAGCCACGCTCAAACAATTCAATAACAAGCTAAATTCTTAACAACACACCATGCTAAATTCATAATCAAAAGTAGAATGCTCAACAGAACAGGAGAGAAAGGCTTGAGCATGGGGGCAGAGCAGAGCACGGCACGGAGTATGGGTGCAGAGCAATGCACCAGCATGCAGCGAGGAGCCAGCAGTGACATCCCTGAGCAAAAGCCTGTCTCTCAATTCAGGGCCCCCTCTCCTCACCTTTAGGATATGTTCCTTCAGTTACAGGGATCCCCTGCAATAGCTCTTTCACACCAAGTCCAACACTCGGTCTTACAGAACTGCTGACAGCTGTGGTTGTCAATGGCAGAAGGCAGCCTTAAAGAGGAATCTGAGCAAGAGGCCAAGCCAAGGCTGCCCGCTGAGTTTTGCATTGCCCCTGAAAAATGGCCATGGAAGCGCAGCCCTCTGAGGTAAGCATGGTGAGGGAAAGCAAAGGAGCCAGGTGGGTTTCAGTCCACTTGTTCCATGCGAGGCCTCATGTTTGTACAGCTGTGGGCCTTTGCTAAATATGAGCACTTTCTGAGGGGCTCAGCATTTTCACCTCACTTTTTTTTTTTTTCCCTCCCCCCTCCCTTTCAGGAAATCCAAATGGGGAAGCTGAAAATACAGCAGTAGAAAGGAATGGAAATGTACAGCTCAAGTCACCCTTTGGAAGAAAAGAATTCAAGAAATCCCACAGCAAACCCTTTTTTCCAGGGCCACGTTTGCATTACAATTGAACAAACCTGCC